TACATGGTGGCCTCCGGGCATCACTTCTGTTTCTTATGACCCAGAGGTGACCAGAAAAGCCAGTGCCACCATCCACAAAGAGCTGGCCAACAGGACTGATCTATACCATGCCTGAGACGGTGCCCGCAGGTGGGATTCAGGGCAAAGGCTGAACACCAGGACCCTGGTGAGCCGAGGACTCACTAGCTGTGTCACCTGAGAGGGCCCTGTCACACTGTGACCCTGAACACGACCTTTCCCTGTCTGAAGTGTGGAGTCCAACTCCACAACACGCAGCACAAAGCTCTAGCCCTTGCTCTGTTCCTGTGTGTGCACACGTGCATGCATGTGTGTGTGTGCATGTGTGTGACTCTCCCCAAACACACTCCCCCATCAGGAGAGCAAAGGTCACCTCCTGCCCCCAAGCTCATTTGCAGGCTGCCTTCCTTGAGAGCCACACAAGCCCAGACTCATCCAAGTCACACAGGCAAGGAGGCAGGTGACGCCCCGGCCTCAGCAAAGGAAGGCGGCCGATCTAATGTATCAGCTTAGTGAGATCTGCATCAGATTTGAAAACCAGAACTCTCAGAGATCCTGGGTTCAGTGCCACAGGCCAATAATTCCAGTTATTCAGCAGGCTGAGGCAGGAAGATGGCAAATTGAAGCTCCAGGCCTGTACGGGCAATTTAGCAAGACTGTCTCTGAACAAAATTGTTTTTTAGAAAAAAAAAAGGGCGGGGTGCTGAGGATGTGGTTCAGTGGTAAGCGCTTCCTTTAACGTGCACGATCTGGGGGTTTTGATCCTCCGTACTGTGAGAAAAAGGTAAAATAATGCGTGTGCTGTTTAGTTACCGGGCTTTCTGGGAAGTGTTCTAGCAGCCACAGAAATGGCCACGCCAGACAAGAAAGGAGAAGACCTCGCAGCATGATTCACAGCCTGCCTGGGAGAGTGCTTTCCTAACCAGCTAAGTGGGGGCCCGGGGTCTCTGAAGATTGCTTCGGGGAGCTCTGAGGCTCCTGAGGCTGACTCCGCGCTCCCTCTCTGTGGTCTTGGGCTGGAGACTGAAGTTCTCTGAGCCCCGGTTTTCCCACCGGAGAACAGGCGAAGCAGGAGGCGATCGTGAGGGTCTGAGTTAATCCTGGGAAGAGAAACCTCCTGAGGCATTGGGGAACCGCGTGGGGAGGGGAGGCGTCACGGCAGGGACCTTCACGGGGGGCCGCCAGGGCCCCCTTCCCGTGAGGCTGCACAGGGGAGCTGGCTGGCCACGCCTGTGCGGTGACATCCAGGGGAGGCAGGATCAGCTACTGAAATCCTCGCAGTGCCCAGTACATTTCCTCTTTATGGTGATGTCACAGCACTACGCTGATTTTTAAAGTTAAATTAGAGAGAGACGATTCTGGGTGAAACCCACGTCACACCCCCAGGAAGGGTGTTTACCAGTCTGTGGCCACAGCCTGCGGCAGATCTGAGCTGATAGCGTTGAACGGGAATCTAGTTTCGAGATGGAGAAACCCACCTCCCTGGCTTTTCGAGAGCCCCAGGGGTCCCCAAGCAATACGGCAGGGCATTAAAAAATGAAACTCCCAAGTTAGAACCCAGACTGCAAGACTGCTGTTCCAAGGTTCTTGGGTACTCTTTAAGAATCTGAAGATCCTAAATAAAGTAGAACTCTTAAATGCTCAAATTCTACTCTGGTTCTTCCAGAAAATCCACTGGGCCGCTCTCCCCTGTGGGCAGAAGTGGCCATCTGATGACCCTGGCGGCAGAGGCAGGAGGCTGCGGCCACAGCTGCCCTTGACTTTCTCCTCTGGGTTTCTCCTCGTTCTGGTCCAGTTCCAGTTCCCTGGGAGAACTGGACTGAGGGACTGCTGCCTCTGCCTACCCCACACTCGGACACGGATGTTCCAGAACATTCCGAAGGCCCCTATCTCAGCAGGCTGTAGAGGAATCAGCTGTATCCTTGCTTCCAAAGTTACAAAAAGGCTACGTTTCCACACACTGTTTCACTGATACATCAGGGACAGCACCTCTCTCCCTGCACCCAGAACTGCCAGGGAGATTTCTAAGGTGTCCCAGCTTTACATCTGCAGGAGGGGCAGGTCTCATTACGTAGCTGAGGCTGGCCTCAAATTCACAGCAATCCTCCTACCTCGGTCTCCCAAGGGCTAGGCTCACAGGTGTGTGCCACACACCCAGCAGCATTACAGATTTAATACCCAAAAAAAAAAAAAAAAAAACAGCCAACTAAGCAATATAAGTTATATTGAGGTAAAGAAAGATCAGCTCCCTAGAACAGGCAAGATCATTTTTTATTTCAGTAAACTAAAAATATGGCAGGCATCTATCGGATGAAACCCTGCCCCAGAGTGCTCTTCGGCAGGAAGAGCTTGCACCCTAAAGCAAGCGGGTCCAGCCGCCGCCGTCCTCCTGCTCTGCAGAGACCCCACCGCGGTGGGAGGAAGTTGTGTTGTCACAGACTCTGGGACCGGAATATGCCACTGACACTTGCTATTGGGATTTTACCTTGCAGAGGCAGCGACCGTCCACTAGGCGGCGCATGCCCAGAAACGGGTGCATATGGGTGGTAGCTGGGGTACTCCTCCAGTCACAGCCCCCAAATACATGCTCCCAAAACCAAACGCAAAAAGCAACCTAAGTAGTAACTGCACATTCGCCATCAAAATATACCTTTAAAACATCTTTCCAGCTCCAGCCCAACCAGATGACCTCCCAAAGCCTCTCTGCAGTAGAAATTCCGGAACCAACACTGCAGATTCCAGAGGAGAGCAGTTCTGCACTCAGAAAGCCCGGCAGGTGGCCTGGAAAAGCCCTTCAGGCCCGGTGTGGTGGCCCACACCTGTCAACCCAGCACTCGGGAGGCTGAGGCAGGAGGACCATGGTGATTTCAAGGCCAGCCTGGACTACACAGCAAGACCCTCTCTCTCAAAAAGACTAAAGTCCCTTCATCTGGGACTCTCTGAGGGGACCAGGCTGTGACGAGAGAACTGTGACCGTCTGCCTCTGGACTTGACAGTTTAGGAAGGCTACTGCCACACGGAGGGCCATCAAGGGCACAGAATACAAGACATTGGGATTAGGTTTGGGTTTGTTTGTTTTGTTTTGGGGTGGGTTTTTTTTTTTTTTAAAGACAATCTCACTTTGTGGCCCAGGCTGGCCTGGCATTCACCTGGATCCTCCTGCCTCAGCCTCCCGAGAGCTGACATCACAGGTGCGGCCGTCACGCTGTGATGTTGTGTTCTGAGCAGTGCCTGCACTTCTGTCTTGCATTAGCAGCCAATTTCTGAAGACTCTGACTGGGGACGAGACCGCTCCCTGGAGCCACGGCGACTGTCACGGAGCTGGAGTCCCACCCTGGGAATGTCAAATTCATTTTTCAGTTCCCATCTCGGGAAACTCACGTAGCTTTGTTTATTCATTTGTTTGTTTTCTAGTTCTAAGTTTACTTTTGCTCCCAGGAGTCCTCTCTGGCAGGTCATCATTCACCAAACTGAAACCAAGGAGCAGGACAGGGAGGACACGAAGGACAATGCCACAAGCGAAGCCAGCCTCGCCTTCTGCCCCCAACACCCCTGGTACCTCCGGAACCACAGCAGGCAGAGCAGGTGCCCGGCAGTTTATGGTCCAAGCCACACTCAGCCCGGTGCCACCTGCCTGTCGTCACCTAAGCCAACACACAGTGGACTCAGGGAAACCGATTTCAGGCTCCTGATGTTAATCATCAAGCCAAAGCCAGCAGCCTCCCACCTTCTGGACCCAGGGCGGTAATTGGATAGGAAACCACTGCAAACCCTCTGGACAAATACACAGCAACAACAACAAAACGCTCTTTGTATCAGAGGCCCGGCGCGGGGCCATCGCATACCAGGGACTGCAGGAGCTGTGGCACAGCCAGCAAAGTTGGTTTCCCAACTGTCAACTTTCTCAGCGCCGAGGTGCCAGCTCCACAATTAGGCGAGCAGGAAACGTCAACCCTTAGCTCGGGGCTTCATCAGGGACCCTACTGCAAGGTCTCGGGTGAATTGGAGTCCCCAGGAACAGCGGCTTCTCTCTCTCTCTCTCTCTCTCTCTCTCTCTCTCTCTCTCTCTCTCTCTCACACACACACACACACACACACACCCTGCAGTCTGTGTCAGGCACTTACACTACTTCGGTTGCTAACTGACTTCAATACAATACTCTGGACAGCCCCGGTCAGGGAGGCTGGGCCAACACCTGACACCCAGAGCTGCAGAGATAAGCGAGGAATAGTTGCACAGGAAAGAAGGCTTCACTGGTCACTACCCTGGCCACTGGCCTTTGTCCTCACTGTCCCCGGCTTGGGTACAAAATGGCTTTTTATTCACATTCAATAATGAGCAGGCTGGGGGACCTCAAGAGAGCAGGTCTGAGCTCCCTCCCACGCGTGTTCACGTAGCCCTGAAACGGCTCGGGGGTGGGGGTGGGGGAGAAAACAGGCAAGAGAGCCCCACTTCCCCTGCCCTCCCCCCAGAGGCGGCTGGCACCCGGCCTGACCGGCCTGGCACTGCAGGGAGGTCACTGGCCCTAAGCTGCGCCCAGCTCTGGGCGCCTGGCTCCGAGCCCCGTGCGCGCCCGCTTGCACGCGCACCTGGAGACCCGCGCTCAGAGTTGAGCGTTCCAAGACCGCCCCCTCGCTCCTGCCGGTCCGCTCGGCTCGCTGCGGGATCGCGCGCCAGCGGGCTGGCTGGGCAGTCGGACCGAGGCGGGGACTGGAAGTGTGGCCACGAGTCCCTGGCTGGGGAGCCCCGCGGGTGGCAGGCTCAGTCCCTACCATCTGCGCTCCACTTCCCGGGCCACTTGTCCCTTCCACTGCGCTCGGGTTATCCGCGGACGGAGCCCCGATCCCGCCACACACCCCCTCCACGGGCAGAGCCGGGCACGCCCGGGCCAGGGGCACGAGTGACAGCTAGCCGGCCTGGCCCGGAAAAGTTGCCCGAAGTCGCCCGCGCGCCTCCTTCCTCCTGGCGCGCGCCGGCTCACCTTCCAGCAGCACCTCCCTGCCCGCGCGCTTCAGCGCCTGCACCGCCTCGTCGTGCGTGGCGTCCCGCAGGTCGGCGCCGTTCACCGACAGGATGGCGTCGCCCACGTACAGGGCCTGCGTCTGGTCGGCCGCCAGCCCCTTGAAGATCTTGCTGATGAGGATGGGCATCTTGTTCTCCTTGCCGCCCTTGATGCTGATGCCCAGCCCGCCCAGCTCCTGCTTCAGCACCTTCACGCCGCGCTTCTGGCTGCACACGGCCTCGGGCACGCGCTCGGGCGCGTCGGTGAAGGCGGTGCGGACCCCCGCCGGGGACTCGGGGGGCCCCGCGCCCCTGCCCTGCGCGCCCTGCGCCGCCGCCGCCGCGCCCAGCCCGTTGTGCGCCGCCGCGCCGTCCTCGCCGCTCAGGACCAGGGCGTCCTCGCCCAAGTTCACCAGAACTTTGTGCCAGCGGTCGCGCACCGAAACTTCCAGCAGTCCGCTGCGCTGCGCCCGGCCGCCCCCGCCGCCTGTCGGCCCGGCCGCTGTCGCCACCGCCGCCGCTGCCGCTAGCGCCATCTTTCCAGCATGCTTAAGGCGCCCTGTGATTGCGCCGGGCAAGCGGGGAAGGGCTGCGGCGGGCGGGGAGGAGCGCGCCCCGCGGAGACCGCGCCGCGGAACCTCGGACGCACCCGCGCGCCGGCGCTGCAGCCGCGCGCGCGGTCCCCTCGCCGGATCCGGGCGGGGTGGAGCAACCTGCGAGAAGGCGAGACCGGCACAGGGGAGGGAGGGGACAGAATAAAAGCAGCTGCTACATTGCAAAACCCCGGGCGGGGAGCGGCGGAGCGCGGGAGGATCTGGAGGAGGAGGCGGCGGTGGCGGCGGAGGCGCGCGGGGCAGGGCGGGGACTCGCGCCTCGGGGGCCCAGGCCCGCACCTGTCCGCCTGAGACGCGCGGGGTCCCGCCGCGCTGCTCTCCCACGGCGCCTCCTGCAGGTGTGCGCGTCCCGCCCCGTCGGCCTCCTGGGCCCGGCTTCGCACACCCACCCAATGGCCTTGTCCCCAGGGAGGTCCAGCTGCTGACCGAGGTCCTGGACTGTCCTAGACCCCAGCGGGAGAGGTGGCCCGGGACTTGAAACCCAGACAGTGACCCCAGAATGAAGTGGCTGCGAATCCTGAGCGCACTCCATCTCCTGTCCCTAAAAACACATTTTATTCACACCGGCTTGGGACAGATTTCTGGGCCCCGGGATGTCAACAGGTCACTGCTTGCCTGGAACCTCACGCACACTTTGCTTCTGGGGACCCCAGGTTCCAAACGGGAAGGCCTGGTTTAAGAACCAGGGCAGGCAGCTTGCGTCTCAAGGTTCCTGCCAAGCTGTTTATCTGAGTCTCCAGCCGCACTGCCCAAGGGAACAATATTGTCTCTCTTGGTCGCCTTGGGGGGCCCCTATCCGGAAATGCCACTGTACCCTAAGGGAGCTGCATGTCCCAGAGGGCTCCTGCCCTTGAACCTGTCAGGATCAGGCGATCCTGAGCAGCTCCCACGGTCGGGTCTAGGTGACCAGAGCCCCTTGTAGACCTCCCCAGTCCCAGAGTTCTTTGCTGTCTCTCAGGAAACGAAACAAATCCGCTTGATCCAGAGGGTGAATTTAACCTGGCGAGGGGTTGGGAGGAAGAAACCCCCACTGACCTCGGGAGCCTTCCCTCGATTCGTGCCACTCTGAGGACCACGGCCTTCCAGCGTGCCTATACGTCCCATCACGGATGCTTAACCCACACGAACCCCCGAGGAGGGGGCCACCCGGGTTGGGCTGCAGGTGGCGACCACAACTGGACATTTTCTCTGCGGAGCCCTGGGGTGAATGCATCTGCATGCGGCTCCCCACTTGGTGGCGTTTGTTTTTTTTAACCCCTCAGTCTTCTAAAAGCTCTTTATTCCTAAATGCCAAGGTGCCCAAGGCAGAGCAGCAGACTCCAGGGCTCGCGTGTGCAATGTGGGCCAGGGAGCAGGAAAGGAAAGCCGGCTGGCCCGGCCCTCTGCTCGGGCACTGAGGACTCACGCGGTCCCTCTGGGGTGAAACTGGAGCCCGGGCGTGAGCATTCCAAGCACCAAGCCCAAACTCGGGCCGAGAGCAGGACCAGAATGCCAATGTGAAGATTTAGAAATCCAAAACCAGTCCGCCCCGGACCTGGAATTCTCTCCCAGCAGCCTGCCCGCCTCTGGCCTTTGCAGCCGAGTCATGTGGGCGAGCAGACAGGACCGCAGGTAATTTATTGATTTGCCACTAGCGGTTGCAGGCGGTGGGAGGGACTTTCTCAGAATCTCTGTGCTAAGCACATTCTTTCTGCGTGAGCAAACACACAGGGGAGGCAGACGTTGCGTCAGAGCGAGGGGAGCCGAGCTCCGAGGGTGTCAGGCCGGGGCTCGCATGCATGCAGCCTGCTCTGAGTGCTTGGCACACGCTGACCCCGTGCTCCAGCGATCCTCAGGGGTGCCTACCGTGGTCAGCACTGCAGTCCCCTGGGGGAAGGTGCAGGGGCACAGGTTTAATAGCCCACTTGGGCCATGTAATCAGCAAGTGAGCGTGGGGATTTGAAACCAGCTATCAGAGTCCAGACTCATAACTGTGGCCCTGCTGTGCCCTGAAAATCCACTTCACTTGGCCCCTGTGCGCATGTGCGCCCCCGGCCTGGCAGTGCCATTGGGAAGGACGTAGGGCTGACCGCCCCCCATGCTGTCCAAGGTTGGAGAACCACGCCCCCTCTGCAGGGCACTTTCTCCTGCAGAACCGCTGTGGCCTTGAGTCCAGTGACTACCTGTGGTCTTGTGAGTGAGGAGGCCCCTCTTACCCGTCCGACAGCTCCGCGGCCGGCTGTCTGTTTATGAACGCCGACTCCTGGAGCTGAGCAGTGCTGACCTCATTTCTTAGTTCTTGGTGGCAGTACAGCAGCTCTATCACACTCCTGGTTAGGGCCAGTGAATCTCTGTCCCCCTGTGGACGCTGTGTGTTAGCTTCCATCTCTTGGCAAACACCGGAGAAAACCAGCTTGGGAAGAAAAGGCTGGTGCACGGCCCTGGCTTCAGAACCTCTGCCCGTGACAGCCTGGCCTTGTATTTTGGGCCATCTTGGAGAAAGCACACGGCCTGGAAGGAAAAGAGAGGCAGGTGCAGGGGCTGGGGCCCCCTACCTCTCAGGGGTGCGACCCAGCAGCCTGAGGGCCCCCAGGAGCCCCGCCTCGTGCAGCATCTGCACCCCAATATCTCCAGGCTGTGGGCTGAGCTGCTGCATTTCCCAGCTGGACGCAGGCAGGGCGCCCCTTTTAAGAATGGTCGCTGGAAATGAACAGTGTCACACGTGGGCCTCCTCATGTCTCACATGGTGGCTCAAAGCCAACGCTCATGATCACATAAACTCTCACACATTTTGGGGGGGTAGCTTCTGAAGCCCAGGGCCTGAGTTTCGGCCCGGAAGCAGGCCAGCAGGTCTCTGTCACCTGACTGACCCTGGCCCCCGAGCTGTCCTAAAGTTGACGTCGGCTTCCCACACAACCCACGATCTGTCGGGTGCAGGTTTTCTTACAGATATTTGGGTGGATTTACACTTTTTGCGGGCAGTTGCTTTTTAGTGTTATGATTTTGATTCTAAATATATGTGGGATACAGAGTGACAAAACACTGGTGTGAATACACAATGTATAATCAAACCAGGGTCTCGAGCATGTCCAGTACTCAAATATTTTTAAAAAATTTTCATAGTGCAGATTTATTTGGCTTTTAATTATAATTTCCAATTCTCAGTGGCAACTTGGAGAGGTTTCTCTTGATTTGTCAGATTATCAGATAAGCCTTCATATATTCATACTGGCCATTGAAAGTCAACCAATATTCTTCATAGGCAGGAAGAAATATGATTTAAGTAAATGCAACAGATTACAAAGGATTTTTTAAAAATACATATTTAAGATTTAAGATCACACACCATCATATAAAAGGCAACTTAAAATCTTCATTATTGGGCACAAATGCCTGCATGGCAAGTGCAAGGACCATCATTAATACAGGGATGAAAAAATAAGGTCTTTGCAGATGGGAAGGAGAATCTGAAAACAGAGGGAAAGAAGGCGGAGGAGAAAGGGAAGAGGAAGCAAAAAGGACCAACATTGGGGTGAACGAGTACCAGTGACTGCACCCACTGTACAACTGGCATGCGTTAACAAAAGTAAACACCCTGAGAAAGCCGTGAGGCCTCTGAAGATCCGGGTCCCCTAACTAGAAGTTATAAGAGATATTTCAGCTACCTGAACCAACTCTTAGGTCAGAGGCTCACTTATTTTTAGTTAGCGCCCCCTGCAGTCCACAGTGAACACACTCGCCCTGGGGAGTTGGCTCCTGGGCAACAGGTCCCCTCTCCGCCCTAGTCCCCTCCCATTGACCAAAGTAGACCAGACTCAGGAGAGCAAGTGTCACTGTGCTCTGCTCAGAAAGCCTATGGCATGCGGAGGAGAAGAGGTCTGTGGCCAGAGACAGCGATCACCTGCATCACCTACAGTCACCGTGTGCCACGCCCTCCTCCGGGGCACTGAGGTAGCCGCAGGGCCCTGGGACAGAGAAGCTGCCCAATCCACAGTAGCGGACACACCACCCCCACAGGGAAGAAGACAGAATTGGGGGATGAGAGCAGGGGCTCCTGAACATGAAGCTGTGGAGCGCGGCCTTGGACAAGGTGACAGTCACACACGTGGGTGACAGGGGGACGGCAGCCTGCCCAGGTCTAGGGGGGTGGTGTCAGGCAAGAGGAGGGGCAGGAGCAAAGGACCTGAGACAGCCACGCTGCCTGGCTGCAGGGAAACCTGGGGCAGCCTCTGGGAGGAAGACAGGCGGTGCAGGGAGGCTGGGCCGGGTCTGGGCGGCTAGGATGACCACATGCAGCATCCTCCTGGTCCTCTCTGAGCCGCCACCACCATGCAGAGCGAGTTCTGAGGAGCCGTCTGGATCCGCAGACCTAGCTCTAGTTACAGACTAAGTAAAACCTGCTTTGTAGAAGGCATGCTTCAGGACTTAGGGTTGGGAAACAGGATCACCGTGCTTTGGACCTGGCCCAGATCCCCAGCTCCCTGTGTGAGGGGTACTTAAGGACAAAGTAAGAAACAGAGACAAGTCTAGTAGTGCATGATAAGGGGCTGGGAGTCAGTGCCCGGGTGGGCAGAGACCCCGATACACCCTATTTACTGGGCGTGCACGGTGCACTGGGTGTGCACAGTGATGGCAGCAGAAGATTCCAGATCAGCAGGAGACTCAGAGGTCAGTGGTCCTGCAGGCCGTGGATGACCCTGGGATGACTCAAGAGGGCGGAGATGATCTTATGCTAGAATGTTCTAGAATGTTCTTTTTCTTCTCAGTAGTCTCAGGTTAGTCTCAGAGGGTGGGAGAGGATGGCCCACCCCAAGAGCTAATGGGAAGCCTCAGAAGGGCGACCCCCTACCCCAAGCTCCATTTATCCCTTAGGGAAGGGTACAGAATTAAACATTGTGAATTCGTGGTCACCGGTAAGACTCTGCTTCCTAAAGAACAGACTTGAAGATCTGTGCGGATCATTTTCAATATTCAAAATAGCAGGCAGGGAGGAAGAGGCAATGAGGCGCCCTCTGGCATCTGGAGTGGAGCAGAATGGAAGAGGAGAGGGCAGACTCTCCAAATGGAACCTCCTGAGTGGGGCCTGCGTGTTCTGCCACATGTGGACCAAACTGACACAGCATTGAGCTGGGCCCGAGGCAGGGACACCAGCTGCAGAGCTGGGAGAGACAGGGAACCAGGAGCACCAGAGAGCGAAGGGCTGAGTGCAAACTACAGAGCACCCTTTCCCGTCCTCAGCGCGGTCCAGGGAGGTTGATGTCTGTAATCCCATGGAGAA